TAATTCCTATGGGTGTAATTTGGGTGTTCCAAGTGAACATAGGGTTCGACTGGTTGAGTGAAAATAAACTCCTCTATACTCCTAACATTCTCAAATACCTTTATCGCTCTCAGTTCTCACCCAAGCTGCTCTACAGAACATGTAACTCTCCACATCCAATTACTTTTCACAGCTGCCCATGATGAGCATCGTCAAATGGTTTTCATTTGAAACTGTTAAGATCCATGTATAGTGTAACACAATAATATTCTGCATTGGCACTTGTTTAATTTTGCAGAAGGCGAAGCATCATTAGCCAAACACATGTACCAAGCATAAAAAACAGAGAGAAATAAGTGCTGGCGTCATTAAAATTAGCTGCATGCACTTCTGTCAACAGTTGATTGATCCATCAAATTAAAAGTGAACACGTGATGCAGATCAAAAGGCTCAGAAACATTTTAAAAGCAAAAGACAAAGATGAATATGATTGCAAGTGAACTGCACAATGGATGTTACCATCGGATGACCAGCAGGTGGCAGCATTTCAGGAGGAACTAGTGAAGAAAAACCTATGTGAATCTGAGAATTCATTGTGAATTTAGGTGTAGTTGAGCAAACTCAGAATCATCTCATGCATCTGCCTGCATGTATTCGTGTACAAATATGCAGATAGTGGTGTTACATTGTCGGTAACTGGATGTGACTAAACTAGACTCTACAAAAAAATGTCCATTCAATGTTCTCATGTTGCTAAAAGTACACTGGGGCTCATGAAGAAAATTCACTTTCTATATATCAGCAAATGTAGTCTATTAATCTTCCTTTCATAAATAAAGAATGAAATATGCCAGAAGGCCATTCACGTATTTTTATGTTGTCAAAACCTTATTCCACAGGGAAAGCAAGTGGGAGGGCAGAAGAAAGTCCCAACTTTTCAGTGAGGAAAATCTCATTTATCATGAAATATTTTTAAAACAAGGGGATAGTTTCTGCTATGAAATCCCCCAACACGAGCACTTAAATACGTCAGGGCAACTCAAACAGATTTTAAATAGCTGGATCATTATATAGCAATAAGGATTTTGTATACATTATGTGCTGACTCCACCATTACCAAAGCATGTGAGTGTGTGTGTTTATAATATATATATATATAGTATGTGCATTGTAATTTGTAGTTATATTTATTTCACCCGTCATTACTCTAACTTTGTAATGAACTCATCAGAATTGGCAACTCAAACTCAAACCGAATGCAGCCTATACAGAAGAGTAAAAAGCGATCCATTAAATCAAAATAATTTTTATTATGTGCATTCTCATGAAAAAGACAGACACGTTTAATTTAGTCCAAACAAAGACAAAAAAAAGCAAAACATTTATTGGTATAGAAAAAAAATCATGGCAGTAAATCAGGTGAAAAATGAAATGATCTTGGAGGTAGGTGGCAGACGCCTATTACCTGCACGCCAGTGCGGCACCCAACACCCTCTACAAATACAACACATTGGGATGAGCCCGCAAACTATCTATAATAACATAATAACAAGTGCTTAATTATATGCATAATTCAGGCGTCCCTCTGCCTAGCTTAATAATTTAGCATTCAGTAGTTTCCCTAAAAACGTTATAAAATATTTACACTTGATAAAATATTAACAAATTAACAATCTAAGGCTATTCTTTATGAGGTATTTACAAATACTGTCAGCATCTGGTTAGTGGGAGAGTTTGGCCGAAGTTTTATGGAGATCCTGATGAAAAAAGAGGTAGGTGGGGACCTGAAACATACTGAACAAACTCGGTTATATAGGGTAGTTAAGTTACCTATTCTTTTAACACACATGTACATAAAACATTTATTACATTGTGCAGCTACAGTTCACCCAATCGCAACATACAATAATTTCGACCAATCAGATAGCATCAATTCAGTGTGAGCCTCTGACAATTATTTATATTTGTATGGAGCCAGGAAGTCCGTTATTATTACCAATTCCTCTTAGTGGAGGGTGTAAGTGGCCAAAGGAGCGGGCATTTCATGTACATTATCTACACAAGTGGGGCAGACTACAGGCTGCAAGGTAGGACGTTTACATGATCTCTATAATTGCATGTTTCCAGGATTGTCATGTGCTATAATTATTAGTGAGTATTATTTACCATTTCAGCAATAGTGCAATGGATGTTGCTGTTTTCACTTGCTCGTTTATATAAATACAGACACACATTTTGCAATTAATTTGCAGGGAATTACATTAAAAGAAAATCACTCATTTGCTATAGATTATAGATTTGGAACACAAAGACATCTATTGCAACAACCGTCAAAAGTTTTTTTTTTTAAGGCAAAATTGCAGATTTCGTTGCAAATGCATTTTTATTTTTTTTATTGGGCAGCCTTATAGTCATTATCTTTTTATGTGAGGTACATGGGAACTTATGGCTCCGATACTTGTGGAGAAAACAAGTTGTATCTGAGGTTGAACGGGTGGCAGTAATCCCAAATATCGGTGACCCCGGTCCACCTTAAACAATGCCTCCTCCGCGGGACGGGGTGAGCTGGTGTGACGTCACCCGGGAGCTGCAGCTCTATAGACAACATGCTGTGCAGTGAACCCATTCTACTGAGTGTACATTACAAGAATGTGCAGGCTGGAAATACATGCAAACAATTATTTACAGTTCCAATATGCTGTTACAATTATTGATCTTTAATCGTCACATGCTTGCACCACACATGTAAATATGTTTTTTAGTTCTCAGAGTTATGAATATATAAACATCATTTTTTTACACATATATTTATAATAGTGGAAAATAATATAATAACCTAAGAACACAATAAATAGTAATAAAAAAAAACTATGACATCATTGTTTTTGTGATGTATTCTATAATTGGGTTTATTGTACACCATCAATGATCTACATACAGGGGTGAGAAAAACACAGAACTTAAAAAAACCAAACGCACATATTTTGAACTATTTGAATGCAATGATATCAAGGAGGCAATCTGCTGTGACTTCCTGCTTGCAAAAATCATATCATGCAGCATATGTTCAGACACACAGGTACTGAACACCTGCTGACAGGCTGCTGGGAATCACACAGGGTCCTCTAGGTTGGCTGCTTTCCAGCCATACTGGGCTAGTTTGTAATGCTGTGCCCTATTTTCTTTTTTTTTTCCAGAGCTAGCCCAAAAGGTTGTTTTCATATTTTATAATATTAAATGCACCGGGAACGCAAAAAAAGAATAATTTGATTTTATTTTGTGATTTTACAAATACCTTGATTTTGGCTAGTGGAACCAGTGCTGGGCTAGTTAATTCTAGCCACCCTAGAGCCACAAGAGTGACATCGTTGCCACTGTGGGCTAGCCAGATGCAACCATTAAGGTCAGCTAGGAGCAGAGTACTGTACTATATACATAACGAGTCAAGTGATTACAGTGTGAAGATGGAATGAATCATATAGATTGTGGCAAACCCCCAGAAAAAAGTGTCATGGCCAGTTTGAAAAGCTATGTCCTATTTTATTTTTTGTATGAGCTAGCCCAACAGTTTATCTTCTTTGTCTATATTATAAAACATTCCTGGGGAGAGGACTCAACAAAACTTCTTTTATTTTGTTATTTTACAAATAGTTTCTTCCCTTTGATCTTGGTTAGTTTGAACCAGTGGTAGTGTGTACACTGACTCCTGGCAACCCTGGGACCACATTACCGGCTACTGACAACCCTGGGACCTCATTACTGGCTACTGACAACCCTGGGACCACATTAGTGGCTCCTGACAACCCTGGGACCACATTAGTGACTTGTGACAACCCTGGGACCACATTAGTGGCTCCTGACAACCCTGGGACCACATTAGTGACTTGTGACAACCCTGGGACCACATTAGTGGCTCCTGACAACCCTGGGACCACATTAGTGACTTGTGACAACCCTGGGACCACATTAGTGACTCCTGACAACCCTGGCACCACATTAGTGGCTCCTGACAACCCTGGCACCACATTAGTGGCTCCCCACAACCCTGGCACCACATTAGTGTCTCCTGACAACCCTGGCAGCACATTAGTGTCTCCTGACAACCCTGGCACCACATTAGTGTCTCCTGACAACCCTGCCACCACATTAGTGTCTCCTGACAACCCTGACAGCACATTAGTGGCTTCTGACAACCCTGGCACCACATTAGTGGCTCCTGACAACCCTGACAGCACATTAGTGGCTCCTGACAACCCTGACACCACATTAGTGGCTCCTGACAACACTGGCACCACATTAGCGGCAGCTGATCCAGTGTGGACCACAGATTGCAGCCAGGTGCATTCATCAAAGGTCAGCAAAGAGGAATAAAGTACTGTATGTAGTACTGCATATAACACATCAGTCGACTACAGTATACACATGGATGAAACATATACATTGTTGCAAATCAGTCACAATAAGTACACATTTCCACTAAATATTACCTTAAGAGCGGCTGAAACTGAAGTTAAAGTACAAAACACAGAAAGTAACAGAAGGGATAAGAAGGGATTCGCATGCAGATCACAACACAATGTCGCCTAACACAACACACAATGTCGCTTCAGCGCCGTAGCGTAGTTCGGACAGTCCAAGCCGTGCTAGTCCCCCGTTCATTAAATAGGTCATGCGCTCTGCCATGGAAAACCTTTGCCCCCTGATCGTGGCACAGATCAGCATCTCCTCTTCATCTCCACAGTCTCTGACAGTCACTGGGAAATAAAAAAAAGAGAATGATCTTGGAATAAAAGGCTTTCCCCGGGCTGCAAATCCAGAGCAGGTTTGCCGTCCTCCCTTTCTCTGTGTCTCTGTCTCCCTCCTCCTGTAGATGTGTGTGTGTGTTTTTTTTTCTTCCTTCCTGTGTACTGATCCTCCCCTCCCCATATCTGAATCAGATCCTCTGTCTCTAGTCTTCTTCTTTTTAATAGCTGCATACATACTTGCATGAGATCTGCATGGGGGTGTGTAGAAGAGAAAGACAGACAGAAAAAAAAAAAGCTGATATCTGGAAACCAAGGACAGCCCCAACAGGACTTCACGTAACTAATAATCAGCGCTGTCTCTGTGTCTTGTGCCAGTCACTTTGTGTTTCTGGCAGACTAAAGAGAGATTGGGTCTGTCATCCTGCCTTTTTTTTTTTTTTTTTTTTTGTTGACCTTGTTCCTCGCTTGCAGCCATCTGAAGGGTCTCTCCAAGTGAATGGTGCCACTTTGTCACATCTTCAAGTGCCCCCTGAATTGCTTCTTGTCCAAGGTGTTGAAGAGTTGGCTGAAGCAGTCCCATCAGAAGGAAGATTGTGGGCTTTGCAGCGACCTCTCCGCCCTGATCAACACCTAGCCTCTTACAGAAGACAATAAGGAAGAGAATAGTGCAGCTCATAACTGCACAGCACATTGGGAGACAGAAAGGAGAAGAGAGAGAGAAAAAAAGGGGGAAAAAAAGGGAAGACAAACTTACAAACCTGGAGTCTTTACTTATGATCCATGGGCAGAGCTTTAGCCCATCCCAGGCTACCTACAGACATACTTTAAGCAGTAAGTAGCTAGACAAACTATCTCATGACTCTCTTTAACTATGTTTTGTGACCTCTGTATTTCTTTATAGTTGTAAAAGTGTGCACTGAGCATCCTAACCCCCTCCTTGCATGCAGTGTTATTGCTGTGTAATGCAGCAAGCTATGTGTATGTATATATATAAATATACATACATTTTTGTTTTACTACTTGGAAGTTGCTCTTAAAGTTTATGGCCGTTTCTTTTCTATAACTTGTGCAGCATTCTGATAATTCCCCAGCATAACACTTCAGCCTTGTCCAGCCATAGGCTCAGGGACTCACTCTGCATGGACATATATTCATATTATCTGCCATAGGTAACTTCTATAGACTTTTTTTACATCAGTCACCTTTTCAGATGATTATGCCGACTCTGTAGATTTAGATATAAATATTGAGGCATTTTGGCACTGTGTAAAAGAGGGTCATTATTTTAGGCCTAGGCAATCTATGAAGTAAATGTAAAAAGGTCTTGTATGAATGTATATGTCTATTTATATCTATACCTTTTCCTCTTTTTAAATATATAATATACATTTTACTTTTTCTTCTTACATTGTACAGATTATATCTGTAGTGTGCATATATATCTTTGCTGTCTGTATGAGTGTATTGATAGAAACATAGGGAAGATAGATAAATAGATAGTACTCCTACTCTACAGTTCAGTCACAGCTAATTATAAGACAAAAGTGAGAAGATTTAATTATTGTAATTATTAGAATTATTATAGTCATTATTTCACCATGAATCTTAAGAGATGTTTATGGCTAGCACCACATAGTTATTTTGCATTAGAACTATATTTAATGTCTTCTTTGTATACTCAAGGGATATATGAGCTCCAGCAAGCCCTCTCCATAAGCTTTTCATTTTTTTTTCTAACTTCTCCATTTAGACCCTTACTACTGTGATCTGCCAGGACAAGCATTGTCCCCAAGCCAGAACAGTATGGAGATGAGAAGCGATAGTCCCAGCCTAAGGGACAGTCCGGACCGTCGAAGTAACAGTCCAGATACTAAAAGTCCTCCTCCAATCAAAGTGGCCAGATTGGAACAGAACGGGAGCCCATTAGGAGCCAGAGGACGACCGAACGGCTCGCTCAACAAATCCTTGGGAGGTAATAAAGCAGCGTTTTTAATGTATACACAACAAACTGGCAACAACAACACAATGACTTGAAGTGTCAGGGTTCATGTTGACTATGGATTTTCGTCTTTGGTGTAGCATTACAGGAAGTTAGTTTAAGCCTCGTGTTCTTTTGTGGCAAGTGGAAGAGTGGGGTGACCCAAGGGTTGGCATGTTGTAGGCACTGTGCCACTATGAGTTGAGTTGTTGGCAGCTATGTGTCACTGTGATCTAAATGTTTCTAGTTATTCCTAGACAGCTTGCAGCTAATTTCTTTTCCTGCTTTCACTTCTTGCCTGTGCATTCTGTGAAATGTTCATAAAGTGAGGTTTTGGTAGCTATCATTAATCTACACAGAAGGTGACAATATCAGAATGTGCTGGTTGCTGTCTCTGTTTAAAGTCAATATACACTAGCTGTAGTTAATGTTTACACTAAACTTAGAATTGTATTTTCTAGCTATGCAGCTGAATGATTTGTGGGTCATGGTATGTGGGCATGGATTTGTCATCATTTCCCATCGCTATATGAATAAGCCCCCTAATTCTGTATGTTGGATGACATTTTTTTTTGTCATTTTAAGAGCCCTATACGGGATTGTTAGTATTTATCATTTAAATGATCTGAGCCAGTAAAAGTATTTTTTTTTTTTTACTACTTAGTAGATGATTTTAGAAAACATTTTAGGCGTTTTTTTGCTCACATGCTCCGATTTTACTTGTGCATCTGAATTGAATACATTTTAAAACTGCTCTGTGCTCTTAGTGCATAAAGAAGACTTTAAAACTTAAGAAAACTGAATTTTTCAATCAATTCCTGCGATCATTTTTAGAGCATATAAATAGGTTAGTTGTAAATAATTATGTATCTATAGACTGTTAACGAGGAGTAGCGAGATAAAGATGTATTATTTCTCTTTGAATTAAAAATTCTAAACATTAAAGTTGTATAATTTATATTTATGTATAAGTTTGTATTGATATTCTATAAAATAATACCATTATATACTTTTAAATATACATTACCTAACCTAACCATAATCGATTTGTAAAGTAGTTATCTGGTAAGAAATAACAGTTTTTGCTCATAAGTTTTATAGTATATAAAATGTTTGACATGATTCTTAGCCACTTATGTACATGTGTACATTTAAATGAGTGAGGTATACTCCACCATATATTGCTCTCTATAGAAATAAACCCAAAAGCGTAGTTATTAATAATATGATATCTGTAGGTACGTACACCTTTTGCACCACAGAAAATACCTTTGTTAGTTTTACAGTGTTAAACTGTGCAGTCGGTTTCACTTGCACATTTATACAGAGCTCCGTTTACACAGAGAACCCCAAATGCAGCCTTAAATTGAGGACGAGGCGTGTAAATAACCCTGGTGCCAGGAGACGTGATATTTAGGTTAATACTGCTTCGAGTCAGTCGTTTGCCCGCCTTGCAGACGTCCTGGATTGTGCCATGTGGCTCTGCTAATACGAATGACCCCTTGTGCTTGCTCTGACCGTTGCCCTTTAATCATTTGAAAATCATGTATAGATTCGTCTGGCCGATAGTGTTTAGTTTTCTAATTAACGTCACAAATCTGCAGACAGACCACACTTTGTGCTCCTGTGATTGTGCAGCAATATGTGATAGCTTGAATCCTGCCGTGTGCTGCTGACACTGCAGCGCAGGAACAGTTAATATAGGAGACATTAGGCTCTGTCCACAAAACATTCTCTTTATGGGGGTCACTAAAAATAAGAAGAGAGAAACTTGATTATGCCAAAACCCTTCTACGTTAAAAATTCTGGTCAGGAAAATTGTAACATCTGTCTCTTCTAATATATAAAATATATATATATATGTGTTCATGTCTAGGGCGAAACCTCTGACCTTCTGTCACTAATGTCTCTGTGTCTCACACTTTTTCCATGACTCCCCATACCATCATGATAACATTGTTCCTTTTTATTTAAATTTATATTAGTAATATGCAGAATTAATTTTTTATATTGCTAGTAAACCTGTGTGTATGTACAATCTTTTGACTACAGAGTCTCAGTCTTTCCCTCTCTTACTTCCTCTATCATTATTAACCATTATCATTACCTTTGATAAGGTTATTACACTTTGCATTGATCTAAAGATATTGCTGTATATATAAGATATATGTGCACATTTTACGTTATTTTAGTTTAGGCCATTTCCTTTACTCTTTATCTAGCAAAGTCCATTTACGTACGACTACTGATTTTTACATCTACACTGATAAGCACCCCCACTTTAATGAGTGAATAGAAAGTTCCATTCAAAGAAGTTTACATGTTCATTATAGAACAGCATTACATTTCTGACACTGGATTAGGCCTTTGTGACTTTAGACAAGTCTTTTAAATATTAACCTGTATTTGTGAAGCTCCAGTAATGGCTGATACTTTAATAATCACAGATTTTTTTTTTTTTTTTTAAGCACAGCCTTAAAAGTTAAAATGTATAGACTTGATTTTGAAAGAAGCACATACTGTAGGAGGCAATGTTTTACTTATTTTAAAATATGCAGCCTAACCTGTACTGCATGTTTCCATTCTGCTTTTCCTATGGTCTTGAACTCACTCTTGAGGTATGTATATAGACAGAAATACATATTTAATTAAGTGAGAAGGATACTCAATTCTAAAGCAGTTAGGGACGGACATCTTTGATAATTTAATGTTATTTGATAATTGATTTACTTGTTTGATTTCAGACCAGAAGCTTTTAGTGGAAACAGCCATTCAATTTAAAGGCTGTAATGATTATCAGTGGTCTATTCTGTGGAATCTAATTCGGCATCTTGTATACTTTTTTTGTTATACAGCTTTTCTAAATGTTCATTTATTCAAAAAAGAAAAAGCCCCCTCTAGAGGCCTTTAAAAAATGAATTACACCAATTAAGCACGGTTGTTGAAAATGAATTGGATTGATCTTTTCTCTGTTTTTACTATTTGGAAAATCCATATTTTTTTAAATGAGATATTTTTAAGGATGTCCTGGCTTTTACCAAATAATTGACTTTTTTTGACCCTCAGAATCTTTTTTGACCCACGAACACAATTAAAAAAAAATCTAAATGAATGTTGATGAAAGTTGTTTTGTATGCAGCATATTCGGTTTAACTTTTTGTGTATGAAACTGGACTGGCAAACATTCGGGGTATTTGCTTTTTTTCAAGGACAGCGTACAGACATGTAGTGAGGCTAAGCTGGTTGCCAATACAAGGCACGATTATTGAAATGATTTGACTTGCATTGGTGACTGGTGTTAAGTTGCCATGCTTTAGAAAGAAAAGGGAAACTTGACTTACAATAATAATAATAATAATAATAATAGCACAAAAAAGTTTGCCATTTACTTATGAGGCTTGACAGTGCAGCCATGTGTTAAAGTGGACTTTAACCCAGTTTGCTAAGTGGTCTAGTGGTGAATGCAGATTTTTTTTTTCCAATGAGATTTCAGCCACAACCTGGACATGATTATAAACCACCAGACAGAGACAGACGGCTCTGTGAGGCTCTGCGCCTACTGAATACAACTTGGGCTTCCAAACTAAAGCTGATGTATACCCTCCATTCCCTTCTTATGTTTATAGAATAAGTATGGTGTGTCTAGGAAAACAGTACTGGTTAGCCAACCATAAATCTTTTGCTAAATTGAAAGCTAGCTTCCTACAGAGTCAGTTTTAACTCATTTGTAAAGCAAGTTGACAGACAGTTGGGAAGAGATGAACAATGTTTATATTTTTTTGGAGACAGCTGATGATTTTTTGTGTGTATTTATCATCAAACTTTGTATTGGACTCTAACACTTGAAGTATACTTTGATAGTCATTATATTATATGTTTAATAATTTCCATGGGATTACTTTATTGGGCTATACACATAAATTATTTATATAGTACCGGGAGGTTAGCTAAGAGATCATAGAAACCTTATTATACTTAGACCCATGCATATTTAAATATGCTTTATTAGCAGTTACACAAAGGTAGCATGTAATTCGCACTTCTCTATAAGACATATGTCAGAGTCCAAAGTTGTTTTCACCTGCATACCTCTAATGATAAAAACATAGCTTAGTGTACATTTAATAGATTTGTATTAGCTAGATAAAAAATGATAAGTCAAAAAAAGTCATACAAATATGTCAGAAAATAGTGTTACACCCATATAATAAACCCAAAAGCTCTAGCAATATGGTTTTTGGTCACTGTCTATATAACCAACATGCATATAGTCTGAATTGGTCTTCTGGGGTTCACGCAATGACTGCATACACCTGCGGCCAGTGCAAACATTTGAGGAATGGTGGGACCAAGAGTGATTTGGGAAGTGTGCTTGGAGTATGAATTCAGTCGGATACTAGAGGGTTGATTATAGGGATGACTTACAAAATTGGTAAAGTGTTCACCAGAAGGGTAAGTCTCTAAATAGGCTGAAAAGAAACCTGTCGCTAAGAATGCTTAGTCATGCAGTACCTCACTATTTAGACAAACGGCTTTTCTTAAGTGCTAATTCTCAAGTGCAGTAACCCATAGCAGTAAACCGGAATCCATCTTTGTTCCAGCCTGATTTTAGCAAAGTAAAATCTGATTAGTTGCTGTGGGTTACTGCAACCAACAATTAGCCCCCCCCCCCAAATAAAAACTCTTTATAGAACATGGCTTAAAGTAACAAATGCTTGCCTTGTCTGCTGGGGTCAGGATTAATGTTATAGTGTGACAAGCATTCCACGTCAGGTGCAACCATGTTGAATAGTTTTTTTTGCATCATGTAAGAAGAGAGCAATGTCAAGTGCTCAACTTATAAGAGCTTCTATACTGCCTAACTCTTTGATCTCCACTGCTGATCATTCAGTGATAATATTCTAAACAGAAATAGCTAAAAGCAGATCTTGCAGATTTTGTCAGCTCTTCAGCTGTAAGGGCCAGTTAAGATTTTTTTTCCACTTATGTATGAC